TGGCCTTGGTGTTCTCCGCACCACACTCTCCCGAGTGAGCCACGGGCCGGCCCCCAAAGGTGTTTCTGATGCATGTTCCCGGTATGGGTTGGCTCCATTCAATTTTGTCATTAATCTTCCTTGTTAGTGATGTGTGCATGGACCCATTGTGGCTGTGGTCATGCTCTTGTACCTGTGGAATGAAGCTATTATGTTAGGTTTCTAGTTACATTCCCCCAGGGAGATGGTAAGTCCGAGTGCAGTAATGTTTATAACTAATTGATCATCAACTAGTTACAGATTTCTTTGTTTTTCCCCACTCCCATAGTTTCACTTGATTTACCAAGAACATGTTGTTTCCCTAGTAATAATAAGAATGGTATATTGCGTTTTTGTTAGTTTGAGTAGGATCATTTAACTTTTCACTTTATTCCTTGTACTGTTCCCAGAGTCAATTGGTAAAAAAAATTAGAAAGTTTTACTATAAAGATGAATAGCTAAAATAATAAAATTATAAAGAGGTTTTTGATATTAATAGATTTTGTTTAGATTAGTTTATAGTATAATTGTTTTTAATAGTAGTATAAAATATAATAGAACATTATAATCAAGTTTTATTATATAAAATCATTTTGTATATATTGTGATTTTGGTCATAAATTAAAATAGTAAATATAAACATAAGACATTAAATTGTTAAATATAAGTAAGATTTTATAAAAATTGAGAATATAAGTTTGTGTAAGTTTAAAAGGTCAAGAATTGTGATTCGGACCAAAAGTCTGATGCTCTCTAATGCCAAGCATCCTGCTATTGTATAGTTTCCTGGCCACAAGCCACAGACTTTGGGGTGAACTATTGACGCATGAATAGATGTTCTTTTCACAACATGAGTGCCTTGGAATGTTATGACCTTTCTTTTTCAATAGAAACAAAATAAAAAATGTTTTGATTAAAAAATAAATCAATATGTAAAAGATTAGGTAAAAACATATAAATAGGGCCGGCCCGTGGCTCACTTGGGAGAGTGCGGTGCTGATAACACCAAGGCCCCAGGTTTGGATCCCATATAGGGATGGCCGGTTCGCTCACTGGCTGAGCGTGGTGCTGACAACACCAAGTCAAGGGTTAAGATCCCCTTACCGGTCCATCTTTTTTTTTTTTTTTTTCATGACCGGCAACGGATCGCAACCCTCAGTGTCGTGCCCGTACCAGACCAGGACCGGCAACGGGATCGCAACCCTCGGTGTTGCTCCCGCACCTCG